GGAGGAGAGAAAACAACAACAATAACAAAACCAACTACAAACTCTCCATTGGACACTTTATATAGAAACATTGATAAGTTAAAAATAAAAGACTGGAGTACTATGTCTTATACAAAGAAATTTTAAAGTTTGATAGCACACAAAGTAGTGTAGCAAACATCATATCACACACACACATGGACACTTGTAATAGTAAAAGGATCAATTCATCATAAAGACATAATAATTGCATATGCTTCCAATAACAAATCATTAAAACAAGCAAAATCTAACAGAACTCAAACAATCCCACAATTATAATTAAAAACTAAACACTCATTTCCTGGCATTTGGTGCAACAACTTGACGTAATTCACATATTTAGAATATTCTACCCAGTATTATCATAAAACATATTAAGTGCACATGAAGCATTAAAATATTCCACCTACTGGACCACAATGTAAGGTGTAGTGAATTTCACAGGATTGAAATAACAGAGTATGGTCTTCAATCTGTTTGAAATTAATGAAGAAATCACATGTGAGAAATTTGGAAGTTGGCAACATTTGTAAATCAAACAAAAAATAATGTATGGGTCAGTCAAAGAAGCATCACATTGAAAAGCAGAAAATATTATGTACTAAAAGAAAATACAAAAGTTTTATATTGTTAATATAGCTACAATAGTAAAGAAAAAATTAGGGGTGGTCTTGATGAGAAAAAAAAACTAAGATGAATGATTTTATCTTCAATGTTATGAAAATGGAGGTGAGGGACCAAATTAATCCCAAGTAAGAAGAAAGAAGGAACTATGGAAATATGACTATAAAAACAAGGAGTTAGAAACAGATAATGGAACAAATAAAACCCAAAAATTGTATTTTAAAGATCAATTAACATTAATAACTATAGGTTGATCAGGACTAAAAGACAAGGTACAAATAACCATTATTGTAGGTATTCTGACCCTGGAAATAGACAGTGAGCAAACTCCCAGGGGGTTAACTGGTGCCCTGATTGCCAGGATTGGAATGCCCAGCTATTCCCTGCTGAGGCTATTAAGATAACTATGGGGATGTACTACCTGGTTTACATAGTGACATCTTTGAAGGAGAGAAGCTCTGTGTTTGCATTAACTGCAACCTCATCTCAGTCAGCAAGCATTCAGGGTTAAAGGAATACTGGTCAAAGAATAGTCACTGGTGGTGGGTAACATGTAAATTTTGGGATTAGTAAATATGACAGCAGAGAGTGATAGGCATCCTTTTGTCTGCCATCCTTCTGTTTGTTTGCACCTGCCCTGTGTGTGTGTGTGTGTGTGTGTGTGTGTGTGTGTGTGTGTCTGTTCTTTGTGTGCCTCTTCCACAATTCTCCCCGCACAGGTGTTCTTTAAACAGCTGGCGTCCAAGGGCAGGAGATCCCACAAGTCCTCCCAGTCCACAGAGTTTGGAACAAGGAAATTAAACAGAGACTCCTAAGGAGTCCAACAGATAACAGGGGAAGGGAGTGGCTCACGCCAGCTGGAGGCGGCCTTGGTCCTTACTTACATCATCTGGATCCCTAATCAGTTGGGCCATGGGAGGTTCTTTGTCTGACCTGCTGGGGTGTCACCGAGTGGAATTTTTACTGCTCAGAAAGGCTGGACATATTGTGATAGTGATCTGGCCGTCTTGCTGTAGGAGATAGATTTGTCCTGTCCCTGGAATCCAGGATCTGGGACATCGCATTCAAAGGACTGAGAAACAATAGGTGAAATTCTGCATGAGGAACCACATGCCCCCATATCCATTTTGCATGGGTGGTATCCCTGTAGGGACGCTATTGACCTGGCTTCTGCCTCACTGCCTATTCAGCTCTTTCTGCACCTGTGAAAGAGAGATGCTGTAGTGCTAGCAGCCAAGCAGCCTTTTTGTCTCCAGCTAGATCCAAGTTAATTGAGTGTTTGCATCAAGCTGCAGAGGAAGGGGAATTTAATGATTTAGCTATCTGTTCCACTGGGTTAAATTTCGCTGGTCAGCAGAGCATAAGCAATTACCTTCTGTTCCATTTAATGAGTTGCAATGTACTGTTTTAGAAAATTAGAAAAATCACTAAAAACAGTAACTCATAAAGCTACCTTGTTCGCCACTGCCTTAAAACACACACACACACACACACACACACACACACACACACACACACATGCCCACTCAAGACAAAAGGAGGAGGAACTAATTTCTCCAGCCCTCTCAGGATCCCATGATGCAAGTGTTTCCAATACAAACAGAGACCTCTCACCTCATTTCACAAATCCTTTCATGCTACTAGAGAGAGCTCTTACATGATTTACTAGGGTTGCAAAAAAACAGTTTGGAAAAAAGAAGAAAAAAGTGTCACTTTTAAATCCAAGCCACTTGACTGGCTATCTTATCTGTTTTTAGTCAGCTTTCTTAGCTAGCTCCTCCCTCTTCCTAAAATTGCAACACAAAATAGAATGAATAAAGAAAGATTTCAAATGTGCAAGTTTTCTTTCTTCAAAAAAGCTTTTTTTTTTTTAAGAATTTCACAGGTTTCCAACTGATTCATCTGAGTTAAAGGTATATTCAGACCTGATAAAAAGGTTGATAATACTGTGATATAAGTTTTTTTTTTCAGTTTTTTATTTTTATTTATTTATTTATTTATTAGTTGCCCAAGACAATACAGTGATCTTGACATATCATACATTTGATTCAAATAGGGTATGAATTCTCATTTTTCCACATGTACAGATTGCAGGATAGTCAATGTAAGTTGATATGTTTTTCTGATTAGTCTTGTTTTATCTAATTATAAAGGTTTTTATACTCTGTTTTTATGCAAACGCCAATTTCTCAGAAGTTAAGTCATAAATACATTCAAAGATTTATTTTAATAAATCCTAGGAAGATATAAACATGGCTGTGTTAGGGATAAGTCTAGTAACCACAAAGGACACAAATACTAGCTATATGATTTCAATGTCCACCATGGGTTTTTAGATCTTATACCTGATATATCCAATTACACAGATCTGTCTAATGTCTATATATTATATGATTGATATTAAATTGACATTTAGACAAATGAGTGCTCAGTAAAATTTAAAGAATTAAACATATCCAAATAATTTAAAATCAAATAATTACATAAATATATATAGATGTCTTTAAGGTTATGGCTCATGGGTTTTTCTAGGTGGCCAAACAATAGTCTTAATGTCTAAAAAATATCTGAGATATATTATTCATAACTTCAAAATTTTTTTCAGCAGAAAAAGGATGATTAATACTATTAATCATGTTTTTCTTATGTTTTTATGTTACAATTAAAATGAGTAAATTTAGCAAAAATGGGATTAGTATTCATAAGTATGGTTTCTTAAATAATTAAATTAAAAATTACAGCTGATGCCAAGCTGATCTCTCTCTTTGTTTTCAGTTGTTAGAGAAATAGGATCTGCCTCTTTTGTTTGACTCTTCTCTAAAACAAGCTCTACAAAGAATTAATGAAAACAGTGATGGTAGATGGACTTCCTGTATCTAAAATGCCATTATCATTAGTTTTTGTTGGAGAACCTATGCTTTTGCAACTGTTGTTGCTATTCATAATAAGAAATTATATATAATAAAATGGTTATATTCTCTTCAGTTTTCAGGCTTTAATATTTTGCCCTTTATTGATATATATTCTCAATTAATTGCTAATGTTCATATTAAAATTTTATCCTTAACAGGCATGAATATTCATGTTTTATACCTTCTTTATGGGAAAAATTTATATCTCTAATACAGTTAACCCTATTATCAAGCTGTATTAACAAAATTTAAACATTTAAACATGTTAAATTTAAACATGCCTCATGATGGACAATTCTCTTTTTGTTATGTCAGGTTCCTTAATTATATCCCTTTTCCTTAATTTCTATTGTTCCTCTTATAGATGGAATAATGGTGTATATGGGTGGAGGTAAACAAAGAGGAGTATATCTATTTTTATTAATGGTAAGGACTATTATACCCTACCTCAGATTTCTTCACAGCAAGTTGAGTTAGCTACCATTATCCTGATGCTGAAATTGGTTTCTACTATTTTAAGTGTCATTACAAATTCTCAATATATAACTAAGCTTGTGCCTCATATTTCCATGGTTGTGTTAGTGCCTTTCTTTGGATTCCACTTCACTGTCTCTTTTTTTAACCCTTTAAACTCTTTTCCAGTACCACCTTATACATCTCCCATCTTCCTTGCTTATGTACACAGCCACAAGATTTCTAAAACTTTGGTGGAAGGTGACACTTGCACAGATGAAACCATGAAATTCCTTTATCCTTTATTTTCAGATACTGTGGAATCCCATGGATTTTTTCATTAAATTCTTGATCACTAATAAAAATGTTTTTCATCTCTTCTCAACAGGCTCATGCTATAGTCAACAACTATTCTCACTGTGTACCCTTTCAGGCTCCTATGTTGAAATTTATAAATCTAAGGGGGCTACATTCCAATGCACTTTGGCAAATGGATGTTACCCATTTCCCTCCCTTTTTATCCTCACTCCTTTCTTTATGTTTTTATTAATACCCATTCTGGGTTTATTTAAGCTAATGCCCACAGGTCTAAAAAAAGGTATCTGCTTGCATTTCTCATTTATTGCTTTGTTTTGCCACATTGGGCAAACCTATTCATTTAAAGATGGATAATGCCCCTGTATATACATCTCATGCCTTTGCACAATTTTGTAATCAATGAAATATAATTTTAAAGCATAAACTTATTCATAATCTTATTGGACAAACTTTGATTAAATGAGCGCATTGTACTCTTAAAACTTGCCTTTTAAAACTAAAACTAAAAAGTGAGAATCTAGCCTCTCATATTAATAATGCTTTAAATATTGTTTTATTTAAAGTTAATGTGCTCAATATGCAATGCAAAGTTAATATTCACAATTAGTTGTCTACTTTGGTTAGAAGTTTTATTCCCAAACAGCTATTACTAAATATTTATGTAAAACATAGTGTTTCAGACCCAGGATGACAAGACCCTATGCCTCTGATCACTTGGGAAAAAGGACAGACTGCTACACTTACAGGTCCTGTTTGGACTCCAGGTTGATGCATGAGATCATTATACTTATGAATGGACATCAGGAACTTCTCAACCCAGTTCCCAAGTTTTGTTTGATCCTGGATGAGGACAGTCCCACCAATCAAGAGGACAATGACCACTCTCCTCGAAAGAGAGAAAACATTAAAGGAGGACAAATAAGAAACACTGAAAGAGGATCCCAAGCTTCTTGGCTTCCAGTGACTTGGGGAGACAAAATCTTTAACAGCCTCAGCTCAACATCTGTTGACTCAAATGGGGTTAAAATGTACTCTTGAAAACTTACTGCTTTGCTTGCTAAACTCACATAAAACTCTATAAATGTTTTGATTCTTATGGTAATGTTATTTTGCTGTTGTACCCCAGTTGTGGGAAATTTAGTTCAGTCAGACTCCTGGACTTCTAGAACCCATTATAATATCTGGGTTCACTTGGCTGAAATTATTATATACCTGTAAGAATGTTGCATGGTACCCATTGTTGTCTTAACAGATTAACTGTGTTCTTACCATCCTCGCAGGGTTTAATGGGCCACCATCATGCACAACGTATTCATGGAGGTCTATTCCCGTTGATGATATACTGTGATGATTCAGTATATCTTCTCTAAGACAGAATTTGATGCTTTGACATTTTCCTTAGTTGATATCTCTAGACTAGTTGTTGGGGCTTACAAAACCACTATGAAGCTGGCCTGTGCTATGGTCTAGTATTAATCATAACTCTATGGCCATTAATATGCTTAACAAGGAGCAAAAAACAACACTGTAAAGCCAATCTTGATAATTGGGTTACTATTGACTATCTGTTGTTGTTACATCATAAAGGATGTCAGGAGTTTAATAATATTTGTTGCTTCAATTTGAGTGATAAGAGTAATTCTATTTCAAGGGAATTAAATTACATTAAAGATACCATTAACAAGGTCCAACAAGATGATGGAGGTTTAGACCTGTTGGATTGGCTAACTTAGTGGTTACCCAATTTCACCTGGGTCAAACAGTTATTCATAGGTGGATGTTTACTGCTTTGGGGATTGTTATGTGCGCTTGCTGCTGTCAATGTCTGCCCTATTTTTTGCCCCCACCAGAATTAAGAAGAAAACAGATATTACTTATCCAGAAGGCCCTAAAAAAAGGCGGGGGCTGTAGGTATTCTGACTGCGGAAATATCAGGAAAGCATTCCTCAATGAGTAAACTCCCGGGGGTAACTGGTGCCCTGATTCCCAGGTTTGGAATGCCCAGCTATTCCCTGATGAGACTATTAAGATAACTATGGGGATGCACCACCTGGTTTACATAGTGACATCATTTGAAGGAGAGAAGCTCTGTGTTTGCATTAACCTGGACCTTATCTCAGTTAGCTAGTATTCAGTGTTAAAGGAATACTGGTCAAAATATAGTCACTGGTGGTGGGTAATATGTAATTTTTTGTGTTATTAAAGATGACAGCAGAGAGGGGTAGGCGTCCTTTTTTCTGCCATCCTTCTGTCTGTTTGCACCTGCTGTATATGTGTGTCTATTCTTTATGCAATTCCTCCACAAGTCTCCCCCTACAGGTGTTCTTTAACACATTATTATGAAGGTAAGACAACTTTGAAAAAAATTCTGCCATTTTAGTTTAAATGTGTGTGTGTGTGTGTGTGTCTGTGTGTACGACTATCAATGTTTGTATGTGAATTAAATATATCCTGAATTACACACTGAAACTGAATGCCATTGGCAGCTTTTCAGAAGGACCTTAGAAATTTGTGACTGGCACTAGTATGGCAATATATAAAAACGTGGATGTGTAACCGATGTGATTCTGCAATCTGTATATGGGGTAAAAATGGGAGTTCATAACCCACTTGAATCAAATGTATGCAATATGATATGTCAAGAGCTTCGTAATGTTTTGAACAATCAATTAAAAAAAGGAAAAAAAAGAAATTTGTGACTGGGGTCAAAAAGAGAAATGCATTTTTTTCTGTATTTGTTTTCACTCAATTCTTTATGTAACCATTTGCATTTTTTCAATAAAAAGAAAAAAAAAACAAGGTCAAAGAAAGTTTTCACCAGATAAGAGTTAAATAGGTAAGGAAGTCCTCACTGAAGACTATTTTATTTTAATAAAGAAAAGAAAAAAGAAAAGGAAAAGAGAAGGCAATTCCCCTGAAAGTAAAGGAAGGGGAGATGTTAAGCACTGAACTGTCTTAGAGGGAAAGGACTGGAAAACATTGAAAGGTTGGTCAACTTGGACCATCTGTTTGCGTTATTGGTACTAATGGAAATCCTACCTTTCCGTAGAGACCAGGAGTTAGGAGTTATCTTTCTTTAATATTGCATTTCAGAGAGAGAACACTCAGGTCCTTGAGAAAGAGAGTTTTGGCTTGTAGAAGTGATAAAAGACTAGGATAAAATTTACATCTTGGAGAGGAAGGGAAAGAAATTACAACTGCAAATTTCTTATGTAAATGGTACAAGAAAATGAAATATAAACTCATTGTTAAAACTGAAGAATTGAAAATACCAAGAATGGCAATAATATGTGATAAGGTTTTAAATGTACCATACCATACAAACACACACACACACACACACACACACACACACACACACACACACACAATACATAATACATTCCTAGTTGGAATTTTAGTAATTTAATGTTATCATTTAACCTAACAATTCTATCTTTATATTTTTTCTCATGGAAAATGAAAACATATGTATAAATAAAGAATTTTACAAAAATGTTTATTCCTAATAGCAAAAAATTGGAATCAACCTGTACACACACATCAATAGGCAAATCTGTGGAGAAATAATGCAAAGTCTTGGAAAATATGTAAAATGTAGAAAGCATTTTTTAATAATAATTAAAAACAAAAGTTCCTTTCTATGCAGAAAATCTCTCCACAGAGGCAGAAAAAAAAAGAAAAAAAAAGAACGAAAAAACTTTTATCACTGAATAAACATTAACCCTATGTATCACAGGCACTCTGCTAAAGAGATGTCAGTGTTGGTGGTGGTTGGGGGGGATCTTACCACAGGATATATCCCAGCAGATACATTCCATGTGTTGATTGTTCTTATCTAAAGAAAGAATAACACATCTTTTAGTGAGCAAAGAACTATATCTTATAGCCAAATGCCTATACATTAAAGTACCATGAAGATAGGACCACAGGTATCACCCTTCTGGATGTTTACTAAGAGAAAGTTACTAAGTATACAAATATACTTCTGGGATACAAAACTGGAAAAAGACTTACTTTGCTTTTTGAAAAAGTTGTGCATATATCTCAGTGAGATACTGGCAGCAGTTACAATTTCAAGATTTCTAAACAAAGTTCTAAAGAGTAGTTATAAAGAGTAAGAGATGGGTAGTTTACATTTTGCAATAGAGATAATGCACTTTTTCTTTATAGATTTGCTTTTAATCTTACAAAATTTCATGTAACAGAATAAAAGAAGAGAGTACTGTTTCATTTAAGAACGTGAGAGAATTTCAAAGATATTGTGATATGCAAAACTAACATATTTCATAATCCCATATATTTGAAACTTCTTAAATACCATAGAAATATGAAATTATCTGTTGCTTAGATCTAACTATGTGATATATAAGGTTGGTCGGGAATGAATGGGTATTATAGAACTTCTGAAGCTTATGGAAATCTTTCACATCTTGAATAAGTGATTTATTTCATGGCTGCATTTGCTTATTAAAACCCAATTAAAATAAGTGCACATTATAAGTAAATTATTCATCTATATTAAATGAGCCTGTAAGAATATAGATTAAAATGTTAAGAGTGGTTTCTGAGTCGTTAACTGTCACTTTTTATCCTCTTTTTGAAAAGTTTGAATTTTTTTCCACCGAGCAGGAATGCTAGAAAAAAAAATAATAAATGAAAGTGTTTTGTGAAGATAGGATCAATCGTCTATTAACGTACTGGAAATGAATCTAATCTTTCATCCTAACTTTTCTAATTCAGCATCTACATTGTAATAAGATGCCCTGGTTATTCTTATGCTTATTAAAATTTAAGAAGCACTTTATTGAAATATTTCTGAATAGATGAAATTTTATCGTTGCTCCTGGAAAGATAAATGAATCCCAAATATCAGGAACTAGTGGAAATTCTATTAAAGCCAGCTAAGTGTGCTATCCTCGACTTTCAATTTTTGGTTTTAATTTCTTGGAGGCCAGAGTCGCATCTCATAGAACAGCAAAAACCCTCCAGAGGTATAAACAGAAAGGCAAGAGAAGCAGGAAGAGCTTTGAAATCCACCGCCAAGTATTTCTCCGCGGACAGCGGGTGTTTCCTGGTACCTAGGTTTTGTCTGCAGGCCTTACTTTCCAATGTCCAAGCTGCACGCACCCGCTACTGGTCTTGGCCTCTAGGGGCGGAGCCGAGCGGCAGGGGCGGGACTAGGTAAGGAGATAGTGGGGGCGTGGCCGCGGATAGGCGTGGCCGAGCGGGGGCGGAGGGACTGGGCGGGAGGAGCCGTGGGGTGGGGGTGGGGCGTTGCCGCAGGGGGTGGAGCCGAGAGGAGCCACTGGGGCCAGGGTGGGGGCGGGGCAAGCGCGGAAGGCCTGGGACCGGTGTCGGATCGCGCAGTTAGCGCCGCCTGTTCTGGGGCGGGCGGGGTCTCGGACCCCCTAGGTGTCTGGATGGGGCTGTGTTTTCCGTGCCCGGGGGACTCCGCTCCTCCCACGCCCGACCCGGTGAGTAGCGCTGCGCCTCGCGCACCTGTTCTCTGGGGCGCGCAGGCGGCCTGAGCTACGTGCAGCCCGGAGACGGTTGTACTTACTGGCTCAGGCCTGGGAGCTGGTCGCTGGGGACCTGGGTGACGGGGAAGCGTGAACCTATACCAAGGACCCTTGGGACCTTACCAGGGAGCGCAAGGCCTCCGCCTCCTTGTTGCCCTCTCCAGCTTTTACCTTTGGCCGACTGGCAAAATTGAGTTTGTTGGACGGTGGCACACATATACAGGAGGTGCTGTGTATGGACCGGTCTTGGAGGTGCGGTTGATGAAGTTAGGGTGCAAAAAGAAAATTATCTCCGTGAAGTGCCTGCTGTACTAAGAGATGTGTCTTTTCCTCTGTCTATACGAGCTCTTTAAAGAAGGTGCTCTTTTTTGAAGATTTTACTCATCCATGATTTCCTTTTAGTGTTTATTTCATTAAAAAAAAAATCTTCCTTTTAAAAACATTGTGTGTAGAATAGGGTGTACAATTTGTAAGACTGTCATATTTAACAAAAATACTGGACGCCCAGGTAATCTGAATTTAAGATAAACAAAGAATACATTTTAATATAGGTTTATTCCATGCAATA